GGTCTTTGTTAGATAGGATATCCTTACATGGGAGAGGACATTTCTTGTTTCTATGAGGATCTGCATACATTGAAACACTCCATTTGGTAGGTTGTATTAAATTTTCACCGTGAATGTCGGTTAATTCTTTAATTAATGGATCAATTAACTTCAGTTGTATAATTTGATTAATATCATCGTCGAATTCTATATTAGAAATTTTATTAACCACTTCTTTATAATGTCCACCTCCCGAAAAAAGACGACATTTCACTTCTAATAAATGAACATTTAATTCTCGAAGAGAACTATCGACAATAATATATCTTTTCATTTTATTTACAGTTCCCATTTGTGAAATCTTTAATTTTAAAGAAGGTTGATAATTATTTTGGTCGCTACATTTCTTAGTAAATTGAGATAATATAGAATCAATATATATTTTATTTTTCAATTGATTTTCTCGAACTGTCATCATAGAATTTAGGTGTTGTAGTTCATTGGGTAAACCACTATACAAATTATTGTAGGAGTCGTCGTTGTTGTTGTTGTTGGAGGTAACATCAGATAGGACAGCCTCTATTATACTAATTACTTCTTCTTTTTTATTATTTATTTCCATTGTACTAAAATAAATTGAAGACTTTGGAATCATCATTTCTTCATTATAATAAACAGACGTATTTCTAGTTGGAGGAGATGTAAGATTAATTGCTGCTGTTGCTGCTGTAGATGTTACTGATGATGCTGGTGATGGTGGACGGTAATAAAAAGATGATTGTCTCTTAGGAATTGGAATTTGAGATGACTTTTTATCCAGAAAACGTTTATATTGAGGAGAAGGAGCACCACTGACTAAGTTGTTTTGTTCTGGTATTTGTTTAGTTATAATTTGTCTATTCAACATCTTGATATCGTAATCTGTCTGTCTGTGTGTAGTTTATTAATAATAATTAAAGTACCTCATCATTGTATTTATAGTAAAAATCATATTAAAAAAAAAAATTAACAAAAAAAAATGGAGGATACCTTAACAAATACACTACCTTTATTTTATTGTTTACACTGTATGGGTTTTTATTCTTGGTTAGAAACTAAATACGACGACGACGACAAAGAAACGGTGACAACGTGTCCCAAATGTTTTTCTACCTTAGCTGTAAATTTATATATTATTAATGGAAAATTCTACGGTATTGACCACCAAGTTAATAATCAACAAATCTCTGATTTTATTAAGGCTGCTTTCAATTCACAAAACACCCATTTCTCTTCTAGAGGAATCTGTGATATTAGCACTGAACCACATGCTAGAGAAAATACCATATATAGAACAAGAATCCTTACAAGTTCTTTCGAAAATGAAACATCTTAAAATTACCCAAAATAATCAAGAAAATAATATTTCTTTTCTTTATATTTATAATGGAATTAATATTATTGATTATACTAATAATACATCATTTTTAAACCCCTATCTAAATTTCAATTCTATTTCTTTGGCAATAGATATATCCCAAAAAGATGGTGTTCTTTTTTTAAAATTAATTTTAGATATGAGAATTAAACAACAACAACCACACATATTTTCACCATTAATTATTTTATGTGAAAACCAAATTTCAGTACAAAAACTATTGAAGATAAATCATAACATGGTTGATCATCGACGAAGTTATATATTTCTAACTGAAAGTGTTAAATGTCATAAAGAAGTTTTAAGATCCTTAATAAATTGAAACCGGAAACCGGAAACCGGATGGAGCATGAATTATATATTTTTTTGGGGAATATTAACAATTCTCTTAATAAATTATACCAGATGGAGCACGAACTATAACACATACTCTACACAGCATACATTTAAGTTGGTTTTCTGAAATTTTGTGGTTTTGTAAGAATGTACTATAACAATTCTTACAGAGACAATGACCGCAAGAAAAAATAACGGGGTTTCCTTGTTTTTCTTCTAAACAAATGGGACAATCAAATATGATATGTTGGGAATATACAGCGATTGTTTTCCCCTTTTTCAATTCATGGAGATAGCACTCTTCACGTGCTTCATTGGAGTATATTATATGTTTATACGGTTTATGAATATAAATTAAGACAGAGGATACTGGAGGAGTATTATCACATTTTAGACATAATGTTCCCATAAAAGCTTCATGAGAAGCTTTATTTAGAAATATACCATTATTTTTTACATTATACAAATAATTTTTGAGAAAATTTATAGAATAAATGGTGTTATTGGCATTGTTATCATTATTTGTGATATTTTCATAAAGATTATAACATGTTTTACAAAAAAAAGGTTTAAAGGGAAGTGCTGAAAATAAATTAGTATTCCATTTAGCTTCATCGCATCGTTTTTTTTTACTTTTTTCTTTTTCTATAATATTCTAGCAATTTTTTATTTTGTAATGGATTATCAAGATATCGTTTCAAGAGATTATTTGTTTCAGTTTCATTCATTTGATAAATGGAATAACAAAAACTTATTATTTTTATTTATTGAGGGTTTATAAAAGGATATCGTGCGTAGAAATAAATTCATACTTTTGATGTTAGATGTTACAAATCTCATCCCACATCAGAAATAATGTCTATATTAGAGAAGGATGTACAGATATTTTATTACGTTTATAATATTAGTAAATTTTACTTTAAAAATTATGTAGATAAAAATATTTTCCAAAAAATGGTACCTCGCTCTGCCGATAATAAAGAAATAATACGAGAGTGGTTAAAATATCAAGAAGTTGACGACAACAGTAAGATTGAAGAATATATTGAGGAATGGGATGATGAATTGTTCAATTATATTTTAGGAGAAGACGACGGTGCACATAAATGTCTACCATTTTTATGGCAACTCTACCTTGACAAATTGGTCTTGCATCGTTATTACAATACTTTGTTTTGGAAGAGGAGGTGTTTATCCCAAGGAGTAACCCCGTAACCCCTAATGTGGAGGATCATAAAAAATTCTTTATGAGAATGTACTTAATAACGCTGAAAATAAATTAGTATTTAGCTTCATCGCATAGTTTTTTTACTTTTTTTCTTTTTTCTTTATCTATAATATTATATTTTTTTTTATTTTGTAGTGGATTATCAAGATATCGTTTCAAGAGATTATGTGTTTCAGTTTCATTCATTTAATAAATGGAATAACAAAACTTATTATTTTTATTTATTGAGGGTTTATAAAAGGATATCATGTATAGAAATGAATTCATACTTTGATGTTACAAATCCCATCCCACATCAGAAATAATGCCGCCTATATTAGAGAATTTAGATGTACAGATATTTTACTACATTTATAATATGAGTAAATTGGATTTTAAAAATTATGTAGATGAAAATATTTTCAAAAAAATGGTACCCCCCGTACCTCTCTCCGCCGGTAATAAAAAACTAATACGAGAGTGGTTAAAATATCAAGAAGTTGACGACGACAGTAAGATTGAAGAATATATTGAGGAATGGGATGATAAATTTTTCGATTATATTTTAGGAGAAGACGACGGCACACATAAATGTCTACCATTTTTATGGCAATATTACTATGACAAATTGGTCTTGCATCGTTATTACAATACTTTGCTTTGGAAGAAGGAGTGTTTATCCAAAGGAGTAACCCCGTAACCCCTTATGTGATATGTCATAAAAAAATACTTTATGAGAAATGTACTTAATAAAAATATACATATATTTAATCTTCCTCCTTGTTTCTTTGTTTGATTCCCATATTTATTGGAGGAGTATTATCAGATTTTAGACATAATGTTCCAATAGAAGCTTTTGTTTCAGTTTCATTCATTTGATAAATGGAATAACAAAACTTATTATTTTTATTTATTGAGGGTTTATAAAAGGATATCATGTATAGAAATGAATTCATACTTTGATGTTACAAATCCCATCCCACATCAGAAATAATGCCGCCTATATTAGAGAATTTAGATGTACAGATATTTTACTACATTTATAATATGAGTAAATTGGATTTTAAAAATTATGTAGATGAAAATATTTTCAAAAAAATGGTACCCCCCGTACCTCTCTCCGCCGGTAATAAAGAACTAATAGGAGAGTGGTTAAAATATCAAGAAGTTGACGACGACAGTAAGATTGAAGAATATATTGAGGAATGGGATGATAAATTTTTCGATTATATTTTGAGAAAAACACACACACAGGAAGAAAAATTTCGTTGTAACGTATGTGACAAGATTTTAAGTAGTACACAGAACTTTAGTCAACACCTGTTGCTACTCCATAGTGATGAAAACTTGAAAACCTTTAAATGTGAGTTTTGTAATAAGAAATATTATAGGCAAACTGACCTGAATAGACACAGTTATAAACATCAGCAGATATCCCCATTTTGCTGTAATATATGTGGAAAGAATTTAAGTAGTAAACAAAGCCTTCGCCATCACCAGTTTAGCCATAGCGATAAAAGAGAGAAAATTTTTGAATGTGAGTTTTGTAATAAAAAATATTTTTGGTCGGGAAGCCTGACTACCCATAGATACACGCATAGTGATGATGAGAAAAGAGAGAAAACTTTTAAATGCAAATCAAAGGAAACTTTTGAATGTGAGTTTTGTAATAAGAAATACGTTAACTAAATATAAATACAAAATGTAATAAGGTTATCAGAAAAACTTCATACCATTTTTAAGTCTAAAATATAATTCTTGCCGCACAGCTAAGGAGGAGGGAGGGAGGAGTTATCTGCTGCCTGCTGCCTATATAAGTGTTCTTTCTCCATTAAACAGACAGTAATAGTTTTGAGCTCTCATCGAGTGAGAAAAATTTAGTTCAAGAATCCTTCGTGAACAGTTGCGCCCGCCAATGAAAATTTAAAAATGTGAGTTTTGTAATAAGAAATTGGACCACCAAAAGTGACACATAAAGGTTCACTATAACGAAAATCAGTAAAATTTACCTATGGACAAAATAAGAAGAGATTACTATAATAATATTTTTTTTTACAGATGGGACGAAAGAAATAGACTAGCAGGAAATAATCTGCCTTCCTGGAATTCACCAATCACGACGAGGATTATATTATGACAACAGCCTTGAGAAAAACACACACACAGGAAGAAAGATTTCGCTGTAACATATGTGACGAAAGAAGAGACATTAATCCAGATAAGTAAATATTATCCCACACAAAATAATGTTTTAAAATTATAATTTTTAAAATTGATGATAATGTATAATTTTTATGTTTTTTTATAGATTGCGGAGAAGGAAATAAGACCAACACTTTTCGCCGCCTTAATGGATGAATTGATAAGATTGAGGTTACTGCAGAAGATTTGTATATGTGGAAAGAATTTAAGTAGTAAACAAAGCCTTCGCCATCACCTTTTCTCTCTTGAATGTGAGTTTTGTAATAAAAAGTATTTTTGGCCGGGAAGCCTGACTAGTCATAGATACACGCATAGTGATTATGATGAGAAAAGAGAGAAAACTTTTAACACTCATAGTGATGATGAGAAAAGAGAGAAAACTTTTAAATGTGAGTTTTGTAGTAAGAAATATTATTGGCAATCTAACCTGAATAAACACAGAAAAACACACATACAGGAGACAAAATGTCGCTGTAATATATGTGAAAAGAATTTAAGTAATACAAGCAACCTTCGCCGCCATCACCTGTTCTGTCATAGCAAATCAAAGAAAACTTTTGAATGTGAGTTTTGTAATAAAAAATATTCTTGGTCGCAAGACCTGGTTAAACATAGAAAAACACATATATCCCCACCATCACCACCATCACTACGTCGCTGTAATATATGTGAAAAGAATTTAAGTAATACAAGCAACCTTCGCCGCCATCACCTGTTCTGTCATAGCAAATCAAAGAAAACTTTTGAATGTGAGTTTTGTAATAAAAAATATTCTTGGTCGCAAGACCTGGTTAAACATAGAAAAACACATATATCCCCACCATCACCACCATCACTACCAGAGGACGAGGAGGATAACTACAAGTGCAAAATACCTGATGTTGGAGTTGATGTAGTAAAGGAGGAATGGGAGGATGTAGATTTTTATGATATAGTGAAGGAAGAAGAGAAGGAATTTGAGAATGTAGATTTTCCTGCTGTAATGAAGGAAGAAGAGGAAGAATTTGAGGATGTAGATTTTCCTGGTATAGTGAAGGAAGAAGAGGGAGAATGAGAGAAGAGATGAAGGAGGAATGTAATCTATACTTGTATGTATAAAAGTACTGTGTAACAGTATGTATAACCAACAACAATAAAAATGTTACCATACTATACAAAACCCAATACACTATTTTAGATTTCCTACCATAGTGATGGCGAAAAGTAGTTAAATAGTTATAAGTAACAGCAACCTTCCCCACCTCCAGTTGCGTCATAGCTCGAAATCTGTTTATATCAAATTGTTTGTTGACTAGTAGACTGGCTACAGACGAATTGTAAAGTTAGACAAGTGTGGCAAAGTAGAACTTAATGGAGAAACTTGCCTTAATATACACCCTGAATATACACATACAGAAGAAGGGGAAAGAATTTAAGTAGGACACCTGTTGTTGCTGCTTCATAATTATGGATGAACACAAAAAAACACACACACGCACTAGTAAAGAAAAACTCCCCGTAGGTAAAGTTTTCATGTGGCGGGCGGGAGAAAAGTAGTTAAATAGTTATAAGTAACAGCAACCTTCCCCACCTCCAGTTGCGTCATAGCTCGAAATCTGTGTATATATAGAGAGGAGCAAATTGTTTGTTGACTAGTAGACTGGCTACAGACGAATTGTAAAGTTATATGACAAGTGTGGCAAAGTAGAACACTTAATGGAGAAACTGACCAGCCTTAATATACACCTGAATATACACATACAGAAGAAGGGGGGAAAGAATTTAAGTAGGACACCTGTTGTTGCTGCTTCATAATGATGGATGAACAAAAAAAAACACACACTGAAGAAGGAAAATTTCGCTGTAACGTATGTGACAAGAATTTAAGTAGTAAGGAATATCTTCGTAAACACCTGTTGCTGCTCCATAGTGATGATGATAATGAGAAAAGAGAGAAAACTTTTCAATGTGAGTTTTGTAATAAGAAATATTATTGGCAAACTAACCTGAATGAACACAGAAAAACACACATACAGGAGACAAAATGTCGCTGTAATATATGTGGAAAGAATTTAAGTAATACAAGGAACCTTAGTCGCCATCATCAGTTGCATCTTAGATCAAAGAAAACTTTTGAATGTGAGTTTTGTAATAAAAAATATGTTTTGCAGGGAAACCTGGTTCGACATAGAAAAACACACATATCCCCCCTACAACCAGAAAAATTTCACTGTAACATATGTGACAAGAATTTAAGTAGTAAAGAATATCTCCGTAAACACCTGTTGCTGCTCCATAGTGATTATGATAATGAGAAAAGAGAGAAAACTTTTAAATGTGAGTTTTGTAATAAGAAATATTATTGGCAATCTAACCTGAATGAACACAGAAAAACACACATACAGGAGACAAAATGTCGCTGTAATATATGTGAAAAGAATTTAAGTAATACAGGGAACCTTCGCCGCCATCACCTGTTCTGTCATAGCAAAAAATGTTGCTGTAATATATGTGGCAAGATTTTAGGTAGTCAAAGGTGTCTTCGCGATCACCAGTTATGTCACAGCAGATCTAAGAAAACTTTTGAATGTGAGTTTTGTAATAAAAAATATTCTTGGCCGCAAGACATGGTTAAACATAGAAAAACACATATATCCCCACCATCACCACCACCAGAAGACGAGGAGGATGACGACAATTGCAAAATACCCGATGATGGAGTTAATGTAGTAAAGAAGGAGGAATGGGAGGTAGATTTTCCTGATATAGTGAAGGAAGAAGAGAAGGAATTTGAGAATGTAGATTTTCATTATGTAATGAAGGAAGAAGAGGAGGAATTTGAGGATGTAGATTTTCCTGCCATAATGATGGATGAGCGTCACAGCTTGGCCGAGAAACCTGGTTGACATAGAAAAACACACATATCCCCACCACCCCCACAACCACCACCACCACCACCACTACCACCACCACCAGAGGATGAAGAGGATGACGACAATTGCAAGATACCTGATGCTGGAGTTGATGTGGTAAAGGAGAGAGGGTATACACCACCACCACCATCACCACCACCACCAGAGGACGAAGAGGATGACGACAATTGCAAGATACCTGATACTACACACATATCACCACCACCACAACCATCACCACCAGAAGACGAGGAGGATGACAATTATGTTAATGTAGTAAAGAAGGAGGAATTTGAGGATGTAGATTTTTCTGATGTGCTTCATTGAGAGAAAACTTATAAATGAAAAAAGAAAACTTTTAAATTTTGTTATCGGCAAACTAACCTGAATGAACACAGAAAAACACACATAGAGGACAAAATGTCGATATGAGTACAACCAACACCACCAATAAAAATGTACCTACCTATATATACTTTTAATAACAAAACAAAATACCACTTTTTTGTGGCTTTCTTGTCAAGTATGTGGCAAGATATGGCAAGATTTTAAGTAGAGCTTACTTCATGGAGAGAAACTATAAATGTAAGTTTTCTACGAGGAAATATTACAACAGACCGATTGCCCTAAATAAACACAGAAAAAAACGGAAAGAATTTTCAAGCTATGCTTCTATGTACAACCAACAAGAATAAAAATGTACCTTTTAATAACAAAACAAAATACCACTTTTTGTGGCTTGCTTGTTAAGTATGTGGCAAGATATGGCAAGACTTATTTCATGAAGAGAAAACTTATAAATGTGAGTTTTGTGAGAGGAAATATTACATACCAGACCGATTGCCCTGAATAAACACAGCTGTTGCATAGTGATGGATAAGAAAAGGCTTTGTCACAGCAACTCAAAGAAAACTTTTGAATGTGAGTTTTGTAATAAAAAATATTCTTGGCCGCACAACCTGGTTGAACATAGAAAAACACACACACAGGAGGAAAAGTTTCGCTGTAACATATGTGACAAGATTTTATGTAGTACAAACAACCTTCGTCGCCATCACCTGTTCTATCATAGCAAATCAAAGAAAACTTTTGAATGTGAGTTTTGTAATAAAAAATATTCTTGGCCGCAAGACCTGGTTGATCATAGAAAAACACACACACAGGAGGAAAAGTTTCGCTGTAACGTATGTGGCAAGATTTTAGGTAGTACAAAGAGCCTTCGTCGCCATCAGTTCTGTCACAGCAGATCTAAGAAAATTTTTACTTTTGTATGTGAAATTTGTAATAAAAAATATTCTTGGCAGCAAGACCTAGTTGAACATAGAAAAACACATACACAGGAGTGTAACGTATGTAGTAAGATTTTAGGTAGTACAAGGAGCTTTCGCCGCCATCAGTTGTGTCACAGCAGATATAAGAAAACTTTTGAATGTGAGTTTTGTAATAAAAAATATTCTTGGCCGGGAAACCTGGTTCAACATAGAAAAAAAAAACACATATCCCCAGAGGACGAGGAGGGTGACAATTGCAAAATACATGTAGTAAAAGAGGAATGGAAGAATGTAGATTTTCCTGATATAGTAATTATTTTCATAACAAATGTATAAAAGTACTGGTAATAGTATAAACTTATGTACAACTAACAACAATAAAAATGTTCCTACTAACTTTTAATAACAAAACAAAATACAATTTTTTTGTGGTTGGCAAGACTTACTTTAAATGTGAGTTTTGTGAGAGAGGAGAAAGAGTTCTGTGAAAGGAGGAATTGAATCTGAGTGAGTACTACAACAATAAAAATGTCCCCATATACTAACTTTTAATAACCTTTTACAAAACAAAACAAAATGTTTACACAGAAGGCAAAGTTTCGGCTGTAATGAATGAATGGTTTTTAAATTAAAACACCATAATATTGCCGATTAATACTTAATTGTACAAACTTTATTAAAATTGTTGTCCGTCGATGTTGCATGGTTGCGGGGGGAAAATGGGAGAAAGATTTCTGAGAAGGGGAGGAATTGAATCTTATTGAGTACTACAACAATAAAAATATCCGTCCTCTTTAATAACGTTTTACAAAACAAAACAAAATGTTTGTTTACACAGAAGGCAAAGTTTCGGCTGTA